TAAATAAATGTTTGAGCAGTTTAATGGGATTAAATTATTATTGACCATAGAACATTAGGGGATAGTTGAAGAAATTGGGAACTCAATTGGATGTTTGTTTTGTGGTACTAGGAATTGAAGCTAGGGCCTCACACATGATAGGGAAGCCCCTCTACCTTTAAACTACAATCCTAGTCCTTGTTATTCAAGCATTACTTAGCAGTTTAGTGTCTGGGAGTATGGTAGTGCTGAAAAGCATTAGGGATAATGCTAATTAGAAGTGTTAAAGGATTCTGAGGGCATTATCTAACTAACGACCTTATAGTTCAGCCTATGTAGGAAGTCAAATATTACCAGATAGGGGAATAATTCAGTTGGAGAATTGCCAGGAATTAAGGAATTATAGTACACTTTAAGAGCAACAATCAAATGTGAATGAGAGAGAAGAAAAATATGACTTTGGTCAGAAAGAATGTGGAATCTAAAAGCTTAGATATAAAATACTTCTTAGAGGTTGCCAGATTATTAGTAGACCTCATGTGATTTTTTTTGGTGGGGGGGGTATTGAGTATTGAACCCAGGGCCACTTGACCACTAAGCTACATCCCCAGCCCTTTTTAATTTTTATTTTGAGGCAGGGTCTTGCTAAATTGTTTAGGACCTCAGTAAGTTGTTGAGGCTGGCCTTGAATTTGCAGTCCTTTTGTCTCAGCCTCCTAAAGAGATTATAGGTGTGTGCCACCATACTTGGCCCTTTTGTGATTATAAAGGCATTACAGTTTTGAAAGGTGCAAGGTAAAAGATGGCATAGTTGCACTGAAATCAGGAGTAGTAACCTGGAGGTAGTTTTTGTTGGATTAAATGGGATATTTGTAAATAACTTCTAGTTTGAAGTCAGGAAAGCTTCCAGTTTGTGAGAATGTAGGATATTTAATGGTTCCCGCAGAATGTTATAGAGGGACAGGAATTTTTTGGATATATGCTGCTGTTTGGATCATACTTAAATGTAATAGGAGAGTTTTGATAGACATCTCTGTAATAAACAGTGGATATTATTAATTAAGACATTATTATTATTGTCATTATTTATTTATTTATTTACACCAAGGATTGAGCCCAGGGGTACTTTGCCATCAAGCCCCATTCCCAGCCTTTTTAAAAATATTTTATTAAGGTCTTGCTGAGTTGCTCAGGGCCTTGCTAAGTTGCTCAGGCTAAGTTTGAACTCACGATCCTCCTGCTTCAGCCTTGTTCACTGAGATTACAGGTGTGTGCCACTGCACCTGGTTGGGTTGTTATTTTATTTAAAAGCTTTAAACTAGGTATTGTGGCACTTGCATGTAATCCCAGCTATTTGGGGGAGGATAAGGCAGGAGGATTGCAAGTTGAGGCAATTTAGGGGGAGGCCCTTTCTCAAAAAAGAGCTGTAGATATGTTAGTGCTTACCTAACATGTGCAACGCCTGAATTCAAGCCTCAACATGACCAGTAAAGAAGAGCTTTAATGTACAGGATGAGTGATTCATACTGGAACTGTTGTGGGCATTTATAAATGCAGTATTTTGTTTGTCACATTAGTTAGACTATATACTTTTCCCGAGATAGATTTATTTAGTAATAAATCACAGAAAAGATTCAGTACCCAAAATTCGTCATATATAGGAAGATAATGTACATAACTGTGTAACTGTGGCCTTAGTTTTCTTCCTGTTTGTCATACTGTCATTACAACTATAATCTTACAGATTTTGTTTACATTATTTTGAGAGAAATAATACCTCAAATGCTTTATAAAGAACTGTACACTGGAATATTAAACTGAAACTCTCAGCTGCTAAGTAATTTTAAAAATAGCCAACATATAATGACAATTGGAAGAACTATCATTTGTTACCCCAGAAAACAGTTGTAACACTGTATCACTGTATCATCAATCATGTGACTTTTAAAGCGTATGATTTACTGGAACCAAATCTTAGAACAGTAAAAGGTAAGGTCAATAGGAAATTAAGATAGGAAATCCATAAGGAATGTACAGTATTGTCTGAGTGAGAGAGTAGATAGAGGAATAAGGAAAGAAAAGCAGTAAAAAAGGAAACAAGAGGAGGAGAAAAAAACTCAGTTTAGCATTGAGTTTTACACATAAGCATAGTAGAAGAGCACTATAGTACAGATATCTTACCCAGGAGCTTTCAGAACCCTATGGTAATATCAGATATTACCCTAATATTACGACAATAAGTACACTACTGCTAACAAAGAAGTTTCTTGTCTCCACATTTCCTAGAAAAAGATGTTTCTAATCTTTATTATAAGTTTGTGATAATAAGGGCTTATACTTAACATATAAAGATATTCAAATTCTCTGCTAGTTCTGCTTTAAGTGCATTTCTTAAGATAGTTTATCAATGATTTCCTCTACCTACACTTAAAATGGAGCAGTTCAGCTGTGACCTCAGTGAAAGAATCATAGGTTGTCCTTGTTTCTGATCTGTTTAATTAGTTCCTCTGTGTTTTTCATTTTAAGTTGTTAAAGTAACTTCCTAAAATTATTCTTCCAAAAGGACAGTTAATCTTACGAATCTTTTAGAACCTGAATGAAATGAGTGTTACGCATAATAGTTCCTTTTCTATTACTCCTTTTCCTTAATTCCTCCTTCCCCATTCTAGTCACAAATAGTAGTTCACTGTTTCCTATCCCACTGCTTCTTCTTTTTTTTTTCCTATTCCACTTCTTAACAGCTTTTTTTTTTTTTTTTTTTGAATTTTTAATATTTATTTTGTAGTTCTCGGCAGACACAACATCTTTGTTGGTATGTGGTGCTGAGGATCGAACCCGGGCCGCACGCATGCCAGGCGAGCGCGCTACCGCTTGAGCCACATCCCCAGCCCCTTAACAGCTTTTAATAATTTTACTTTACATGAAGAAGAAAAAAAAATAGCAAGAAAGGGTAATAAAGTAATGTGAAAGGGTAAAAAAAAATAGTGTAAAATAGTTTTTTTTAAAGAGGATGGGTATTCAGTAAAAAGTAATTTTCCTACCTATTTGTTTTTTTGGTACCAGGGATTAAAGCCAGGAGTGCTTAACTCCTGAGCCACATCCCCAGCCCCTGTTTTGGAGCTTTTTATTTTGAGACAGTATCTCACAAGGCTATTTAGGGCCTTGCCAAGTTGCTGAAGTTGTCTTTGAACTCAGAATCCTCCTGCCTCAGCCCTCAGAGCTGCAGAGATTATTGGCATGTGCCATCGTGCCTGGCTCTTGGTGCATTTTAGTCGTATATAGTGCTGGGTGGAGGGGGGCTTTCTTGTGCATTATAGAATGACTAACAGCATCCCTGGTTCAATGGTCTAGATGCTGATAGCCCCTTCTTCCCCATCTCCAAGTGTGCTAGCTAGAAGTATTTCTAGACATTGCCAAATATCTCCAGGGGACCACATTTCCCCAGTTGAAATCCACTGTTTTAGAGCATTGCCCTAAAAGAACACATGTAGGATGGCTTCACATTTATAGCAGCATAATGAAAAAGAAGAATAAATTAATGTCTTTACCCGCGCTAAAATAAGATACCTTCCATAGCTGACACACAAAAGCTTTACAGACAGTGAAAGAGAAGGCATTTTGAAGAGGTAAAGGAACCTGGAAAAGGTTACTTATTTCATAGGAAGTGAAAAATTGAAAATTTATTCTATGTGATTATCTGATGACTTATTATTTTTTAGTTGTAGTTGGACGCAATACCTTTACTTTATTCATTTTTATGTGGTGCTGAGGAT